GACATTGGCAGGAAGAAGCCAAAATATGACTCCACTGTTCAAGTCAGCGACCATATTAAAAATTCTGAAAGAAAAATTAACAGCAATAAATGATTCAGTTTTCGAGCTTAAGAAATTAATCAACTTACTCATACAATTTTATGTGAATATTTACAGTTTGCGCAACATTGTCTTTCATTTTACCATACTTTTGTTGATATTTTGCGACATTTTTTTCTTTATTAAGCTGTTTTACTTCTTCATTTAATGAATAAGTTAGAAAATCAAAATGATCACAAATACCGCCGAGATAGAAGCAGCAACAGACGAAGTACGTTGAAATCGTAATGAGGATTAAAGAATAAGTCACACCAATACTGGTGTCAACATACCAGAATATATACCATCTGTGAATTGTGTCTCTATCAATTGGTAGACTGAAGAAGTACAACAATTTCCAAGTTGATGTATCCCGATTTCCATTTGCAATGCAAACAATGGAGTAGATGAGCGTACCCACGAAAATCAAGTTCAATGGAAAGCAGGCAATGATTTTGGTATACTTTCGACACTTTTGCTCAACTTGCCAATATATATTGAACACTTCCTTTCGATCTAAGTGAAAACAAGAGAAAGACACCATCGCATGATTTGCATTAAAAAATTGATAAAAGGAAATGTTTCGTACCCTTGTCGACGAGCTCTTGTAGTACAAGATGTAATTTTTTTACTTTTTTCATGTTGATTCCGATGCATATAAACATACCCGCCACTTGTGTGCCACAACACGCATCTAAAAAGGGCTCCGCGATCATTTCGAAGCTATGTATGTGTATATACACGTACACGACACTTGAAATGATTGTAAACGATACCACATTGAACAGAATGAAGAAAGCAACAAATGATCTGAAGAATTCATTGGTCGGTTCGTTCAAGCGCTTCGAATGAATTCCCAACCAACCCATTGAGATCTGATTGTATTTGAGTACTTCGAATTTTTCCATTTTCACAATTTTTATTATGAGTTTTTTTTTTTTTGATTTTTATTTTAATGTGGTAGTTCTCTTTGATTAACAGATAAAAACTTTTTATATTTCCAAGTCCATAAATGATGAATTGAAATAGAGCTTGAATGTTTACACGTTATTGGCTTTTATTTCAATTATCCTCTATTAAAAAAGGAAAGAACAACGACAAAGTTAGAACAACGAATAAAATATTACAAACTGTGCAGTTTTATTTAAAAAGTAGCGACCATATTACTGCTCGTATTCAAATGCACCATGCAATGGTGTTTTCATCGCTTATATACCATTAGTTTCATGGCAAACATCGTTTATTTTTAGAAGGTAATAATTAGTTATTCAAATTTGACTGTGAGTTTGAATTCCGTTGAATAAATTGTTGCTTTTTTTTGCTTATACATGCCATATAAAAAAGAATTATTGGAAAATATGAATTGTTGCGGTGAAAAATGTGCTTTCTCCTAAAAACTAAACGACTATCTATCAAAGAAACCACAAATAATTGATTTTCTAAAGCAATTTATTTGGCTTTGTATCAACGTGATCAATTACATAGAAAAATTGTATCTTCATGTGTCTGAAGTTCTCACAATTATCATTTTCCCGCTGGGAAAAAATGAAATAAAATTATTCATTTTAAATGAAGAAAGGTTTCCTTTTTCCATATTAAAGTTAATGCACAGAAAGAAAAAATGTGGTATTTTTAATTCAATTTTGGTAGATTTAATATAAAATCAACCAACAACGAACTAAATTTACCATTTTTGACATCTCTGAGGCATATTTCTCAAAAGAGACTATCAGTTTTATAATTTTTACCAATTGCTTCATTTCATTCACCAAATTCATGGGCTAGCGTCATCTGTGGTTTCGAAAAGTTGGTAAATGTAATGAAGCAGTTGGTAAAACTTATTCAACAAATAGTCACTTTTGAAAAATATGCCTCAGACATGTCAAAAATGGTAAATTTAATTCGTTGTTGGTTAATTTTATATTAAATCTACCAAAATTGAATAAAAAATACCACATTTTTTCTTTCTGTGTGTTATCTTTGGTCGTGCTGAAAAATCAATTTTGTGAATTATTTGTCATTCAAAGCCTAGAATCCAATTTTGCTTGATGTATATCAGCTTA